TCTGTGACCTTTCATTTAGCACTTACTTACTTACACTTTAACAAGCACCAAATTGTCAGTGTCACTAAAACCAAATTAGAAAAAGATAGTCAAACTTATGACTTGTGTCGAGTATTTTTATTATTATTATGTTTTTTTGTGATTTAGTGAGTTGTGATGATGTTTGCCATGGAAAAGTATGTGAAACAAAAAAAAATCACTGGAGCATGAAAACATGATGTTATAGGTAGCTACTGTGCAATCGTGAATTCTAATTCACCTGTCCAGTGTCAAGGTGGGTTGTTACATGAAAGTACCTCCTGGCTGCATTGCAGATATAAAATTCATATTCTGTGGCTGAAGCTTGATCTTCCTTCTCTCTGCAACAGGGCCTGAACAGAATGTAATCATTGCAGAAATAGGGGGAACAGTCTTCCTGCTCTATATGCCGCTCCACATCTTTTTATTCATAACTCTTTCTGCATCAGTTAGAGAACTGTATCTGTCACTGCTTTGAAGTGCTGATAACAATATGCAAAGGTCTGACAAATTAACAGGTAGGATGTTATTTTCCTTTAATGGGGCAGCAGAGGCACACGAGGTAGAATGGCTCATCGCATTCTGTTAGTGGGGTTGCCAGTTTGAACCCAGCGCCATCTTAAGTGGTGATGGTCAGATGGTCCCATGGCAACAAAATGGCAGCCTTGATTCAGTCAGACTGCCGTGGAGCAGCTGAGGCTACAGTGCAGTTTTCCACCACCAGAGTGTGAATGTCATGAAATAATGGATTCACCGTAAAGCACTGCATGTCTTCAAAAGTGGTATAGAAGTCTAATCCATCACTATTTTTAATGGCAGTGGACCAATACTACTGCTGCCCAAATGGAAATTTGAAGACAATAAATAAAAATAAATCAGTCAAAATACATTTAACTTAAAGTAATCGTGAGCCGTTTCCTGCTCCTCTGCCCTGCTGGTTGAAAGTGAAACTACAATTACCATAAAAACCTCTGCTGTAGCTAGCACTAACAATGAACTAAAACTAACACGAGCCAACTAGTGATAAATAAACCACGAAGTAATAAGATCCACACTGTTGAAGAAAAAATAAACATTATAAATTACAAGTTCAGTAGCAACAAAGCCAGGTCACTATCAGTCTGTGATTTTGTCTCCTTTAGCTTCTTCAAATGTGTCACTGTTCACTCTGGTTTTAGCTCTTTGCTTCACCTACAAAGACATTATTGTCTTAGTTTTTATTGCCAGGCTTTGCCATGATGCCCCCCCCCCCCCCCCCCACACACACACACACACATAGAACAGTTCATAGTTGGCAGGTAAAGAGCTCCCCCTATAAAACACCTACTGGCTCCACAACACTATCACGTGCACTTTTTGGTCAGTAGAGGGCTGCAGAGTGGCCAAGTTTCTAACCCAAAAGTCGCTGAGACCAATGTCATTTAAATAAAAAAATAAAATAAAAAATAAATAAATAAACTAATTGTTGCTATTTTGAGAAAGACACTATTTTCTGTCTATATTCAAATTTTGTATAATACAAAAATGCTGTTAATATATCTGCAATGCAAAATACAATATATTTTTCCTTTAACTTATGAATGCAAATTTACAATTTCATTGAAAAGGAGATGCTCGTAAAGCAGGGGTGGGGAACCCTTGTCCATCTAGGGCCACTATCCAGCATATTTTAGTTTCAACCCTGCTTCAACACACCTGATTTCAATTAGCAGGTGATTAACAGGCTTCTGCAGAGCTTGATGAGCTGCTGCACAGGTACTGAATCAGAAGTGCTGGCGCAAAGATATGCAGGATACGGGCCCTCGAGGACCAGGGTTGCCCACTCCTGGCGTAAAGGATAAAATAACTAAATATCACATACAAAATTGAATTAGCTGCCAAATACTGAATGTGTATGATTGGTGTGAACAGCAGGGGGCTGATCATCCAGCTGACTGGTTGTCTGAGTGACTGGTGTCCAGGTAAAGCAGTCCTAGTTCTTTGCATACTAACCCCGGCTTTCCACAGGAGCCGTCAGCAGCATGTTACTGCAGCAGCACGTCATAGCTGCTGATAGGAACCGCTGTGGTCAACAGAACCTTTTCCACTGGAGCCGTCAGCAGCACGAGTCAGCCGCGTCTCAGGAGCAGCATGTCGCGGCCCTTACGCGCCGGTTCTATTTTCTATGCGCAACGCCTCTGAAACGGGTCAAGTTCGACATTTTTAGGGAAGGAAAGACAGGAAATTGGACGCGGAAATGGAGAGAAGCTCCCGAGATTTTCAGAATAACGAAACATACTGCCTTCCAGTTGCTTTACTTTTAAAAAAGTTACTAACTGTGCGGCCCCGTGAGAAGTTATCACCTAGCTAGCGGTCTCCTTTGTTTTTCAGGTCCGTATTGGCGATTATAAAACGGACAGAACATAAAACACAAACCTTTTGGAGCCATGTTGTAGTTTTCTCCTGCTTGTTGTTGTGTTTACTGACGAAGTCACTCGTGTGCTGCTTCGCGTCTCGTGGGAAGGGCCAAGCAGCAGTTTACGCGAGCAAGACGTGCTGCTGCAGTAATGTGCTGCTGACGGCTCCTGTGGAAAGCCGGGGTAACAGTGACATTGTGCAGCCAAATAGGGATAGTAAAAGTGAGAAAATGAAAAATCTGAAGAAAATTTAGAAATCACAGCAGCAGTGGATGCAGCTTGAATGTTGCTGTAGATAAACCTGAAACAGGAAATGACTACAGCATCTCCTTTCAGAAAAGTATCTTGTCAAAATTCTAAATTAATTAAAGTATTATTTATAAATGTTACTTCATACTTCTCCTTGATGTTCATAATACATCTTTTCCATTTAGCAAAACACCCCAGTAGAAGTTTTACTGGGAAAAGGGGAATTATGTAAAGCTATTTACACTTTATTTGGTGTTTTACATTCAAAACAGCCCTAGCTGGAAGATATTAGGTGAATTTTACACTTGTGTTTTTGTTTTTTTATTAAATATAGATATGTTGTTCTGTATTTACTGGTGTTTGAGGCCAACTAAAGATGGTTGGATTTCACTAGATCTACAGAGTAGCCAGCAGGGGGGGTGCTGGTCTCTAATAAATGTGACATGCACGCTCATCTTTGTGCTCACCTTTGCAGTCCCTACCTGAACTGGTGAGAAAATAATGCTGATTAACACCTAACAGTAAAACTGCTTTTGTTCTAATCTTTAACACAACCCCCAGCCATTCAAACACCTTAACAAAAAGCCTTTTTCACTAGTAATCCCTCTTAAGTCACATTTTTAGAACTCATCAAAATAGTATGTGTGTTCCATAGCTCATAGCTTGATTCAAACAGAGGTGTCAGTCATAAGATGACAATGCACATTTTTCCTGAATCAATTTCCATGTCTTTGTCTGTACAGCCGTTAATAAAACGTAAAAAAATATGCAATCAGATTAAATGAAAATGTAAATGCATGTGCAGAGCTGTGACCAAAGTTTGGAGAGTGACATAAATGTTAGTTTTCACAAAGTTTAGTGAATTAACTTTATACAAAAGAGCCAATGCTTTCTTCGTTGATCCATCTTTTTCTTTCTTTACTATTTACTCTGCTGTGTTGTCAGTCAACTTGTGGTCTAAATCCTGACTGATGGCAGCCCATCCCTGCATAATCAGCACTTTGGGTTTGTCAGAATTTGTGGGGTTTTGTTCATCTACCAGCCTTTCGAGGATTTACTTCAAATTCTCAATTAAATTAAGATCCAGGGAGTTAGTCACTGACACAGAATTGATGTTTTTTTCCCTGAGCCACTTTAGCATGGTGCTCCCTCATCCTAAAAAAAAACCTTGTTCGTCACCAGACTGCTCTTGGATGGTTGAGAGAATTGATTGTAACCGAGTCCACTGCCATCTATGACACATACAGTCATGGACAAAATTGTTGGTACCCTGAAATGAACCCTGAAGTTAACCAGCAGCCAGTGAAGCTGGAGGCGAAGCGGGGTGATGTGGGTGTGTTTGGAGGACTTGGTCAGAAGCCGAGCACAGGCATTCTGAACCACCTGTAGACGGTTCAGGGAGGTTCTGCTCAGACACGTGAAAAGAGAGTTACAGTAGTCTAAGCGTGAGGAGATGAAGGTGTGGAGAACTGTCTCAAGTTCAGAGCGAGGCAGAATGGGACTCAGCTTAGCAACATTCCTGAGATGGAAGAAGGAAGAGCGAACAAGAGAACTGACATGAGAATCCAGGGTGAGAGCTGGGTCAAAGGTCACACCAAGATTCCTAACAGAGGGTTTGGTGTGAGAAGCAAGCTGACCAAGAGAGTCTCTGACTTTGGGAACCAGCTTGTCTGTGGCACAGATGAGGATCTCAGTCTGATCTTCATTCAGCTGAAGAAAGCTCCCAGCCAGCAGGTTTTAATAGAGTCTAAGCAGGTGTGTAACAGCTGCAGCTTAGACGTACAGTTGGATGTCATCTGCATAAAGATGGTAGGAGAAGAGCTCAGCATGACATTTTCTCCAAAGCCCATGTTCATGCACTCTAAAGTATAATGTTTACTGACTTTACAGAAGATAAAATTTGAGCCTATAACTTTTATTATCTTCAGATGTGATACCACATTTACTCCAAAAAATTACAGCTATAAACAAACAAATTAAAACAATTTAGTGCCTAAACTGCAGTGATTGTATTTTTATATACATGTTTGCCTTGATAACTTTCTGCAACACATAATATTCTACGGTTTTGCATGACAAGGTGATATTCCACGGTACTTTTATTTTGCCAAACTTGACTGAAAACTGTTAAAACAAACTTCCACTCATATGAAGGAGGAAGTCAAGCAGAATTACTAAATGTGCATCTAGGATGCACTTCCTGTACACCTTTTGTGGAGCCTTTCATATACAAAGTACCACGGATTATTTGAAGCCTTTGCTTTTCTGCTAACAGTACAAAACACAGTGACCAACACTTCAGAGTGAAAATTGCACAAAATCACGAACACTAAAAGATCCAATTTCCACTCATGAACTAAATGTTTATTTTCTTGGAAAAATAATTCCATTGTTTGTTACAACACAATTTTCAAATGGCTTACTAACAACTACTTTCTACACACATCCTGATAGAGAAGAAGCCAGCAAAGAAGCTAAGCTATGTAAAGCAAACAGAAAAAAGGCTAGAGCAGGTAGGCACTCTGGGTTTTAGAAGCAGTATTGCTGCAGGTCAAAGATGGTGCAGGGTCTGTCACAGCAGAGCTCCAGAATGCCTCGTTTCACTAGTGCTCCCATCTGGACTGCGCCCTCGTTTTCACCCCTCACCAATGCTGCATTACCTGCATTTGGATTAGGGACACAGAATGGAAAAGATAGTTAAAGGTAAAAATAAATAAATAAATAAACATCATCCACCTGTTTCAATTAAACAAATAATGCAAGGATTGTAGCTTATGTTCTTCGGAAATTAGTTACTTCAATGCTTTAGGCTGTTGGGAGAAAATAAAACTCAAGAGTGAGTTTAGTCTCACGCATGGCAGTGATGTCATCACTCCTAGGGTTGAAGAGAAAGCCTCTTTCTCCACACACAAGGTACAGAGCATCAGTTAGATGAGGGCCACACAGCTTCTGTAAGGAAGTGGCTCGAGAGCTTGGACATGACATGACCAGTAGGACCAGGAGAGCAGCTGTTTGTGTCCACAGTGTCGCCATATTGCTTTGAACCTGGACAAAAACATGTGCAATGGCAGAAGGGCTAAACAAATCAAAAGTAGAGAATGACTGATGAAATAAAAGAAAAAGGAAAGGCATGACTGAAAAGGAAAAAATAAATTAGGACAAGAGAAGAAAAGAGCTCACTTACGTAGACTGGATGTAGAGGAGTGGTTTATTGCCTCTGAGAGAAAGCTGGTGTGATGAACTGAAGGAAACATCTGCATTAATACCCCCAAGACTAGCCAGACACGCCCACCGTGTTTGTGCAAATGGATGAGTTGGTTTTAAAGTTGCCAGTCAGCACCTTAGCACAAGGCAGTTTATAGCTGAGTGACTGATTTACTGGATACACTTTGCAGCACTTAGTAAAGTAAACTTGGGTAATGGCCCATAATAATCAGATTACCGTGCACTGAAAAATACTCATCACCCATCAACTTGTTGTGCCCTCTATTGAGCAAGAAAATCCACTGTTGTAATAGCATGAATTAAATCTAAATGGATATAGTCCTTCTACCACCCCCCCCCCACCCCCCCACCCCCTCCAAACAACAAGGATTAACAAACAAAACAAATCTAAACATCACAATACAAGTTCATGCTAAGCCCGGTAACTCACCTTGAGGTTATGTGGTTTCTGCTCAAAGGACTAATTCTCCACAAACGTATTAATTAATTTCCTTGAGCTGTGTACATGAACATAAATGCAATAACCATAATCTCTTGTACAAGAACTCATTATCTAATTGAGCTGGACAGAGTATTATTGAAATTTGATTTTCACCTGGCTGAACTGGCAGACCACAGATTGTGTTTTAATAAAGCCAGTATTCAGCGGAAACAACCACCTAATGCAGTGTTTCTCAAGTACCCCCCAGACATTATTTTGGGTTCACTGAAAAAACATTTTTTAATGACTGTTCCTGATTATAATCGGTCACTCTGAGTATTTAATGCAGGCTGAACATGAAATTAGTATCCTACACCTATTTCCTGCATTAGCTTCTGATAGAAAAGAGTGTGTAATTTCATTTAAACTGTTACTGGCCTTATCCTTGTTCATGCTAACATGAGTGCTATATTCAGTATGTGTGCAATACCTGTATAATACCCAGATGTATGTACATTCGTATGTCTGTGTCCTTTATGCTGTTTCTTCTTGGAAACTGTATTTCCTATTTTTATTTATTATTTTAATTGTTGAAGGTTACAATGATAGCCTACTGTCTTTGCGTTTTTACCTGTAATATTTTTCCTATTCTCTGAGTGTTTGTGCTGCCTTAACAAGTGAATTTCCCTGTAGGATCAATAATGTTTATTCTATTCTAATCTATTGTGTTCTATTCTGTTCTATTCTAAAATTGGCAGCCTGAAGCTCAACTCTGATGTGGATCACTTCTAGCTCCTGAAACCAAAGCTTTTCCTCGGAGTACGACTTGCAGTGCATTCATTTCTACCAGAGACCACTGCAAATGCACTGATTAAATGAGGGAACTACATCTTTAAGCATATTTTATAAATACTACTAAACAGTTTCTGAATCACTAGATTTCAGTGTTTTTGCTTTTTCATGGTACAGTATGGTGTAATTGTTGAGTCTGTTTCATATGATGCATGATTTGACATTATCTAAGTGACAAATGGACACTCCCTACTGGGGCTCAAACTGCTGGTGAAGGTTGTCATTCATGCAAAACGTCTTCAAGAAACCAAAGTCTAGTTGTCCTTATTCGAACCCCTTCAGACTGTAAATACTGGCATAAAAAAAATCTTCTTTCAGTTAAGGCACTGTTTCCTTTGCTCTGCTGCTCCTTCATACTACAGCACTCTAAAAGTCAAGCACAAAGAAGAGAAACATTATGGAATAGCAACAGGAAAGTAGATGTCTATAGACTTGAAGAAATGCATAACTCGTCATCTAATAATGCAGCTAACAAGTAATGAATAAGGTACTGCTTCTACCTGCAGAGGTGATAATTATGTATGCCCAAGACTTTGAAGTGCTCCATTAACATGTGATGTATAGACAGCACCTACATATGCACTGAAGGGTGACAGCAGAATGACTCTGTGGTTTCAGGGCAATCTCAGTCAGTGATCCATCATGCAGTTGAGCTGATTACACGAAGAATGGATGGTCTCTTCAATCCCCCCGATTCATTACGGTATTATCATAGACAAGAAGGTCCTCTGACAGAGAATGTTGCTTTTAGACTACATGTTGAGTTGTATTTTATGTAGCGATAAATATAGATTTATATCTATATTTCAAATGTGCCGTAGATTTAGCTTGTTTATAATCGTATCTTAATTAATCGGGGCACCACCAGTTTCCGGAACTGGACCGTTGGATTTAACATCTATATCTTCGTAATGTAATCAGTCTCAGAGTTAACACCACAAAGTAATCTAAATTAAGAATACTTGACAGAATGTGCCGATTATTCTTGAGAATTGCTAGACAATGATCAGGTGTTATTTACGTTTTGTGAATTTATAACCACATCAGTTAATACATTGACAAAAGGACCAAACACATCTTATAGTTTCATGCATGGAATTAAGAAAATTGCTAACCCAAAGCTTTATGGCAGTGATAGGAAATAACTGATCTGTAACAAAAGTGGAAATTCGGTGACACGAGGATTATAGAAAAATGGGGAATAATTTCTAAAAGGAGAACCAAGGGAGGGTGTGTAATGTGTGTAGTGTGTGTGTGTGTGTGTGTGTGTGTGTGGGGGGGGGGGGGTATGGCAGAAGAAAAAAGGGGATCTTGAAGCTAAAGTGGATCTGGGATTGAAATAAAAACACACCATGAAGAAATGGACTAATCTGAATTCACTAATCGGGCTTAGCACAAAAGTCAGCCAGATGAGATGCTTCACAGACCTCTTTCCGTCGCCAAAGAGGTGTCCTGTGGGCTGGTTCAGCTGGTCCAGAAGCTCGAATGTGGCCTTCAGGACCCGTAGGACTTTTTGGCACCTCAGCTTAGGTCAACTGTGTCTGTGGTGTATAGAAGGAGGTGTTCTCCCGTAGTGGCTTGACTCAAGTTTCCTTCACATCAGCGGCCTCGAAACGTGGAACTCAGATCACGGGTCCAAATTATCCCAAATGGAGCCGAATCATCAAACTGTTCCAAATTGCTCTTAGTCTTAATATGAAAACTCAACCACCACGCAGACTTCCGGTTTCACGTAGAAAGTCAAAACAAACAAACGGGGTTGCTTCTGATTTTTACCGTAAAATTTGAGAGCTAATGGCTTAACAAATTTATGAGTGTCGGGTTATCTGGTGCTGGGCCCAGATGAAAAGCCCAGCAAATGTTCACTTAAGGCATCTTTCTTCTTTGTTCGGCCCCACGAGGTCTCAACTTCTGGTTTTATAATCTTTCTTTTTGTCACACCCACATGTATTTCACTCCTTAACCACTTAGTGGCACTGTGGCTCTTTCAAATAAACTACCTTCCCAAAGATGGAAAGTCCATGATCACAATTTAACACAGTTATTCATATAAAGCCTCAAAAAGTATTACTTTAGCATCAAAGTATTACTTTGAACTGGAAAGAATAAAATTCATGTCTTAAAACTAAATAGTTTTACCGTTAGCATGAACTTTAACTGGAGAAACACAAATTGACAGAGGTTTAACGTAAAAGAAAAACACAAAACAAGCAGTCAGGTTTGTAACTGATAAGATTTTAAACTTAGAGCACCTTGATTTCTAATGGTGAACAAATCAAAACACCCTTTGACTGTGGATCAGGGTCTTGATAAAGACTAAATTCTGGAGTCTTCCAGAACATGCCCTGAGAAGGTTTTACAAGCATTCAAACCTTGGGGGAGAGTCAGTTATTGGCAGGATGAGGTAAGACAGACCAAGTCCTGATAATGTCTGGCTTAACAAGTCACTTGGTAAAATTTACGTTCCTGGGAGAAAATGTAGGAGTTAGCCAGATGTTCGAAAATAATACCTTGGAATTTATACGATTGTAGGTCAGTTTCAAATTCCCCCTTTTTTCCTGCTAAGTGTGAAAGAAACCTTTGCGTGAAAATGTTATTGTTCTTCTCCGTGTAAATCCAAACAAAGTTAACCTGATGATATAAAATGTGGATTTCCGCTACATTTATCATAACAGACAGGCAGGTTTCAAATAACCTGTTTACAGTTTTTATGAGATTAGGAGAAAGAACAAAATGTACCAGTTGAATTTTTTGTAAGATGTAACTAAAAGGCCTCTGTTAAACCATATGTGGATTCACTGCACCATCTGTGTTAAGTAGAATAAATAAGATCATACATGGAGCACCAGTCCAGTAGGGCATAACTAACTCAGGTTCCTGTCAGTTTCATTTACGGTAATGTGAATGGCTAAATGTATTTTCATCAGAGTGTTTTTATACAGTATTTATTAATGTTTTAGTAGGACATCCATAGGAGGGTCTGTGCCAGGAGGCTTCACCGAAGAGTTTGAATTTAAGATTTAAAAGGAGCTATTTGGTTTTTCCTTGTTGTGGAAGACTAGACTAGCTATTTAGCTTTGGAAGGTCATTCATTGGTGTATGTGAGTTTATCTAGCCAGTCTGTGAAACAGCTAAGATGAAGATCAGCACCTCCAAGCCTAAACTCAGGGTCCTCAACTATAAAGGGGTAGATTACCATGGTGAAGAGAGGGTTTAGGCAAAAGAAGAAGTTAATTAAACAATCAGGCTGTAGTTCAGCCCTGATTCACTGCTATGAGTTGTAGGTGATGGCAAATACCCAGACTAAATAAAGCAAGGAATTGAAATAAGGTTCCTTAACAATGTGGCTGAAATCACTCCCACGGATGGATGCATTCCACGAGAGGTGTTTCAAACATGTCTGATCTTTGCCTAGCGATCTCGAGAATAGCCGGCGTATTCTTGCAAGAATTCAGCTTTCAGATTAAAATGTGGTGTTAACTTTGAGACTGATTACATTGAGAAGATATAAATATTAAATCCAGTGTCCCAGTTCACACTGAAAAAATGGGTAGTGCCCCAATTAATTAACATAAGATCATAAACAAGCTAAATCTACGCCATATTTGAAATATAGATTTAAATCTATATTTGGCGCTACACTAAGTAACCAAAAAAGAAAATAATTAGTTGGCACAATAAACATAAGGGGCATAGACTCTGCCACAAGATTGTGGTCCAAGTGACACAAGATAACTCTCTTACTGACAATAATATTGTCATGACTCCCAGGCTTACACCCTCCTCTGCCTCTGCTGCCTCCTCAATCAAGCCCT